GCCAGCGTAGATCTCGACACCCTGTCCTCTTTCAGCTGGGTGGCCACAAGCTGGAGAGCAGCATTGTAGCTCAGGGCTTTCAGGCTGGTGCGAATACTCAAGCTCGCATCTCCAAAGTTCCCCACCTGAATGAGGAACACAATGCTCTCGCCCTGCATAGTGTCTCCCAGGGGGCGCGTTGGATGGAACCTTGCCAGGCTGTTGGTGGTGACCGCATTGGCGAGGATCGTGTCGATGTGCTCCAAAACCTCCGCGTTGGTCAGAGGAGGCTTGTTGGTATCGATGATGCTGCGCTGGGCCGCCGAGTCCCACTTCAAGAAATGCCACGTGAGGGGAGGGCCTTTCACAAGCCAGCCCAGCTCGGCAAGCTTGTCAACGTCCCCCGGGGTACCATCCAGGGCCTGGATCCTCGACTCACACGAAAAGCGAAGTCCGCATCGGTCGATCCAACTTCTGCGGCTCCTGCGCCTTCACTTTGCGCCATCCATCCGCCGCCACATACAGCATGTGCACCACACTGGCCGGAACATTAAGCTTCATGTGGGCCACAAAGCTATACTCCAGCTTCAGAAGGTTGATGCTGTCTTCGTGACGCAAGGCCAGCTTCTGCATCATCGTCAGCAGCTTCTGTATCTCTTGCAGATCCGCTCCATCGCCCGAGGAACCACTGTCCTTCCAGTTCCCCTGCCAGGACCAGTTCTGGCGACCACCTCCACCATTGCCCCATTGGCCCTGCCGTTTGTTGGACTGGCCCGCACCATCACCAGAGCTACCAGGATTACCTTGGGAGCCTTTTCCTCGACCACCCTTGTCAAGTTTGGCAGCCTTGGCTTCTCGCTCCTCAGCAGTGGCAGCAGTGGAGACTTCTGAGGGAGGTCCCGATGCCAACTGAAAACCAGCTGGGCGGTATTGCTGGTAGAAATTCCACTCCTCAGAGCCTTTGGATGGACTTCATTGGCTCGTCGGAACCCATCACCCTGGAAAGCGACAGTGGGCGGGCAGCTTGAGGGAGGGCAGCTATTCCCAGCTTGGCCGGCTCTCGAAAGATTGAGCCGGTACCAGCCAGACAAGATACATGTGCTGCTCGCGCGCTTGGGACCATAAGACCGGAGTGGGCACAACCCCGTCATCAGTATGCATCCAACCAGAGGCAAATTTGAGGACCGAACGATAGTGACCAGACACCACACTGTCTCCATGATGTTCAACGAGAGCTCGAACCTGATACGAGTGCCACTGAGCAAGAATCCCTTCAACAAAGATCGGTAGCCATACAGGCGAGGCGATGCTGATGAGGGCCTCATTCTTGGAGGCATCCGCATTGCGCGCAAGATGAAGAAGCACCGGGCCATCCTGCACTACAAATGCATGCATATAGACCTGTCGATGCCAATCATCAATAAGATCCTGGAGCCCACACGAAGTCGCCCGCATCCGAAGGGAAACTGGCGCACCTCCAGTGTGGAGAACTTGAACCCCTTCTTGATCCGGATAGCGAGCCTCCCACTGCGCAAGGCTAAGGCCGAGACCACAAAGCAGCGCAGCTGTGAATTCAGCAGCATCATGTTGTCGACGATCAAAGGTCCAGGTCCTTAGGATGGATCGGACGTTTAGCTGCGCCGAGAGTACAACTTGACCACCACTTCGAACAGAGCCTTGGCATACACCTCGTATGGACTGCAGAGCCCACGATGCGAGAGAGGGGCATTCCTGCAGCACATGCAAAACCGCGTACATCGATGCGTTCATGTAGCAATGATTGTGGGGATTGCCAAGGACAAGACTTTGTAGCCAGCTCTGTGGTAGCAGAGCCAAAGCCGGTGGAGCAAGCAGCTCAGCGGACCTATCAGCAGTAGTTGTCGGCTTGGGTGAGGAGGAAATCCCTGTTGCCGATGCCTTTGAAGTATCATTTCCTGTGTCCTGGTCCCCAGCCTTGCGCAGGTATTTCCCCAAACTGGTTTTGGTGATGTCAAACTGAGCATACAATGGTGAGTGCTCCGACTGCTTGAGCGCAGGGCCCTTGGCGGGCATTGGCGCTGTTGATCCCGTGCTGCGCATTGCTCGCACTGCCAAGAGCTGAAACAGCGACGAACATTTCGCTGAGTGATCCCTGGAATTTTTGGCCTGGCTTCCGCAAAATCGACATGGAGTACGAAACGCCGAGCACAAGCTCTTAGATCCTGAGATCGCAGTCGCTGAGTGCATCTTCCACTCCGGTGCATGAGTGCGCTGCCAGTGTATCTTGATTTTCGAGCTGTCCGGAATGAGCTGCCTGCAGAGAGCACACCGCGTCGCCAGGATCAAAAGTTTATCACCACACGAGTTGAGGGTTGACGGCTCAAACTTCAGGGCCTCGCCAATTTCCTGCTCGAGCTGCGACTGTGGCGTAGCCTTGTGCGGTACAGGTGGCGTATGCAGTTGCTCGTCATCACGTACTCGTCGCAGCATGGCTTCCGTATCTAATCCCTGGGAAACAAAAACCTTCACTTTAGGACACGTGCCTTCTGTGATGTGCTTCTCAAGAGAACGCCAGTCATGAAGTCGAGCCTGGCAAAATCGACAGATTGGAAGACCATGCAATGCATGAAGATCACGATGAAAAGCTAGGCGAGCGGACTGGTTGACCTCCGAGTGCTTGTGCTTGATGTGCATCTGCAAGCTCGCCTGGGAGTCGAATGTGATGCCACAGCACGGACATGCAACTGCAACGGCATCAACCTTGAGAATCCGCACCAAAAGAGGTCATGTTGGGGTTATCCTCGAGCCCAAGCAGGCGTTGATGCAATTGCTGACAATAACGGGATTCTGGAGCCTTGATGTGCTCAGCCCGACGAGGATCACGTTGAATGCTCAGCCCTTTCTGCTGCACCTGCCCCAGGAAAAAGCCCCTTGGGTCCAACCCAG